TTGGACGAGACATATTTCTAAGTCTATCCCCCCTCCCATCTAAGTCTGCACGAGTGAGAGATGATCGGAAGGAAGGAGGATAGAGGTCAATTGGAGTGGAACCAAGAGAAAGAATGTGGGCAAATGGATGGCCGGCCGAGGGGATTATAGGAAGGTAGTACTTAGGAAAGGGGAGGTATAATAGGGAGACCTTGATGACGGGTCTGGAATAATTCTCATATAGGACAAGGGTTGACCTGACCAAAAGGATCGGTTGGTGCCTTTTTATGAAAACAGGGGTCGGGTGCTGAAAACAAGATGACGCGATGGTTGCCTTCCCCGATCTATACTAGCGGCCCGGAAATGCCAGTAGATGTAAGATATGGGGTATCGGTCGTCCTCCCGGAAAATGGAACGTGGACGGACCTTGAACCAGCGTATCAAACGGTAATGCTGGAAGGAGAGGATGCTTTCCTTTGGATAGAAACAATATGGACTAATGTCACCTTGACGAGGTTGTCAGTTTAATGGATTTGGAATTCAGGGGACAGTGGAAGCCCAGGGGTGGGTCTACTTGTCGCAAGATGGGGAGAAAACTATGATCATAGAGTTGGCACTCGGGAATACGCCGGACGAGTTGTTTAGGAAGGCAAAAGCAGAGGTTGTGTGGGCTTCATGTCAACGGAGGGAAATGAAAATGGAAAAGGTAGACGTACGGGTGGAACTTGGGAATAAATGAAGCATGAGGCGACCCATAAGAACCATGCGATGTGTGATGCCCTCCTTCCTGGTGGATGCGGTTTTCGGAACCCGGAGTAGGCTAGTACGGATATGCCAGTTTATGACGAACCTCGGGCTATACCAATGCGCTAGGCAAGATTTTTTTCGGTTGTCAGTAGAAATGGGGCCGTTCGAGGGGAACTGGGCAGAGGAGTTGGCCGAGATACTAAACTGCCTTAGCATAGACAATATCTTTGTCCCTAGCGCTGTGCATTGGGGGATAGTTTACAGGAATGTGGCAATAGGGGAGACGTTTCTAGATGGGATAAGGGAATTGGTATACGACGAGGAGGACGACTTCAGTGATGGAGAAGAAGATGAAGAGATAGAGGACTGGGACTTCTGAGAGGGGTAGGGAAGCTTAACTTAGGAAGGACGGGTGACCTGGTATTGTGCAGGAAAGGAAAAGATGACTAGAGAAGAAAGGATGATGGAATACCCCTTCAAAGGCTGGGAACCACGGCGACTCAGAGGAAGAATAAAAATGCCTTACCAACAGGGAACGGATGGAGAGGGACCACGTGCGACTGGATTGAGTTTGAGGTTGCCCGAGATTTGTCATATGTATGGATAGAGCGGATTTGGAACGCGAAAAGGGAAGAGGAAGGTTGGGATAATATAGCAGAAGGCAAGGTAGAGTCAGTTTGAATGACTGTTCTTTCCGATGATGGATGACACCTGTTTTGCACCATGTTAGCAATGGGACAGGACCCGATGTGGCTTCTAGGGGATGCAGAGGCCCGAACCCGAAAGGAAGGCAAGTTGTTCACCAACGAGGGATGAGACGAAGTTAGTAGCAGAGTTGTGATGGGAGGATGGAAGAAACTCAAGCCTCCAAGTCTACGGATAACGGCTTGGGTACCAGGATTCATAGCCGAGTGGTTTGAGGGGTTTGAGCACATTTTAGAAGTAGCCGACTCCATGAGAAAGGTGCATATAGAGTGTGTCTGGCTGACTGAGGAGTTTTATAGGCTCTCATTGAAATATGGGTCCTTCTACAGAGATAAAGTCGAGGAAGTCATCATCGTCCTAAGAATACGCAGGTATGACCGCTTAGAGGTAGAGGCGGAGTCTTGGGATGTCATAGTTAGCTGGGAGGCAGCGGCTGCACCCTCCTACGTAGACGACATCTTTAAACTATTTGAGGTAGTGTGGTTCGACTGAATGAGGCCAAGGGATCGAACACCGTGAAAAGGCCTGAGTATGGAGGGTGTTTGTGAAGTGAGGTGTCACATAAGAAAGGGAGTGTATACAAGGCCATAGATGGTGCATAAGGATCGAAACAAGGGGGGAGTGACAGCAACTGGAAAATGGGGGGGGGGGTAGAATTGAATGTGTATCAGTTGGGGATAGCGGCAAGAACCAGTGTACGATAAGTAGGGAGAGGCTTGAAAGACTAAAACACGAAAGGCATAGAATCTCGGTGGGTGTAGCGATCGGACTAAGAAAGCAGGAAAGGAGACATTGCGAGATGGCCCGACGAATGACGTTCTGGGCGGATAGACCTCGTGCGATCCTGCCACCAAGAATATCAGAGGGCAGGGTCGAAATAAGCCTGTCGGCGAGAAATACGGTAGGCAATCCGGTAATGGACTGGGTGGGGGAAAAGTTGGTGGAAGATATGGTGTACCTAGTAGTGAAGCTAGAATGGCGGGCGAGAGGGGAGTTCGGGGGCGTAGACTTGAACCGCCCAGGGCGTGTACATGCGACGGGATCCTTACACCTGTTGGAAGAGGGATGACGGACCTTTGGGATTGCCTTGGCTTCCGGCGATGACCCCGTGCGAATGTTCGAAGGGGCATGGCAAGCGACCTGGCGGGAGGGGTTTGAGTTTGCAGATCCAGAACGAGATGACGTGACGGCTGAAGTAAAAGTCGCCGCGACAGGGGTTTTTGAGTTGCCAAATGAGGTCGTACGGATGAGTCTACCACCCTTCCTGCTAAGACGAATGGGAGGAATAGAACGAGTGGAGCAGGCGATGACTGTCGTAATTAGGCTAAATTTTGACGAAGCATTAAGGTATCGAGAATACTATCGGACCTTCCTACAGATGGGTCCTTTCGGGGACGAACAAGGGCGCGAGGTGCTTTACATTCTACGAACTGCGGTAAATACTAGGCCAGGATTCCCATAAATAAGCGATGAGACCATGTGGAGAGTCATCCGGCGAGAGGTAGGTCGGGGCGCGACCTACATAGATGATCTCTACCGACTGTACGAACAGCAAGAGGAGGCTACCGCTCCCGGGGGTATAGAGGGATAGTTGGGACTAGAAAAAAAAAATGAAAACACGAAGGGCAAGGGAGTAGGTGGGTGGATTCTAAAGATTGGTTATAACCCTTTCTATATGGATTATGCAGGAAATCACCAAGGTAACAATGGCAGCAAGACGTGAGCGAGTGGAACGTCCGCCCCATGTGCGAATGGAACGCCAACCCCGGTACCCCAGACCGCCCTGGAACGACGGTGGGCGATGGGAAGTATCCCTCCCGTCGAGTTCTACCTATCGGGGGTTCGACGTAGAATGGAGGGCCGTGACTTTAGGAAGGGACGCTGCCTTCATGTTGGTAGAATGTCAGTGGACAGGGATGAGACTCAACCGAAGACCCGGAGACGATCTGTTCTCCAATCTGGAGGTTACCGGGACCATGTATCTGCCTGAGATCGGCTGGCATTCGTTGGGGGTAGAGATAGCACAAGGTCAAGAGCTGGCACCGATCTTTCAAAGGGTCGCCCGGACGTTGACCCGGATAGGACATTCGGTCAGGGGAAAAAGGAACGTGGGCTTGCTAACCCGGGTGGAGATGGGAGGTTGGAGAGAGTTCAGGGCACCGGCCACACCGCTAAGATGCCGAGTGCCCCGTTTTATGATAGACCTCGTCTTCGGAAGCCTCGCAAGGGCACGAGAGCTGGCAGATTCTGCGATAGTCTGGGCAGGCCACTTTCCCTCCCCTACCATTGGGATGTTCTACGATGTCGCTGTAGAGCATGGACCGTTTTGGGGAAACATGGCCCACGAATTACTAGAAGTCATCCACATTCTGATGTTTTGTGCGCCCCGGCTAGACTGGACAGGGTGCGAACGCATAATCCAAAGGGAAATCGAGATAGGGGAGAATTATCTAACGGGGGTGGCTCAACTATTCGAGGAGCCTACCGAGCCAGAAGAGCCGCGAGGGCGAGAGCGGGATTAACATCTGCAGGCGGGTCAATAGGGCAGATCGAGTATAGTTCGCTGTGTATGGACGTTCGCCAATGGGAATAAGAAAGGGGGCCTCGGACCTGGATGGCTAAAACCCACTAGAAAAACAAAGAAGGGGGGGGGCAGACTCCTAATGATTGACCATAACCCTGAAGATCAAAAACGGGAAACGCTGCTCGGGAAGACTTCCCCTAGCAGGATGCCTAACCCGGACTCCCTCGCGTCGGCCGACGGGACAAGGGCACTACAAACGAGCTTGTGATAAAGGAAGCCCAGTCACGTTCATAGCTCGGCTGGGCAGCAGGGTCAGTCGTGGCTCCTCCTTAAGGAAGGGCAATCAAGAAACGGGGGTAGGAAAGGAGGCTATAAAGGCAAGCCAAGAGAGTTCGAAGCCTAGGGAACCTAAATACCTCGCATTGCGTGTGTCCTGGGAATTCTTTGACTTATGCAGAACTAGGCAAAATGGCAACGGAGGAGGAGACAGATAACCGTAAAAATGAAGTAGAACCAGGCTTAAAAGCCAGTGCCGCACAAAGCGAAGGGGGGCAGAAGGACAGAGAATCGATAAATCCGGATGGTACCAAAGGGAACCGGAAGAAAATCTCCACAAGAGAAAACTCGGGGAAAGCTGGGGGAAGCAGGCAAGGGACTCAGGGAACCAAGGAAGGCAGAAATAAGGATAGGACAAGGCCCCTAAACTCGGAAGGAGCCATGCCTAAGAAAGTAAGGGTCACAGACATGAGACACAAACTAGCCGAGATAGACAAGAGGACCGCGGAATATAAGGCAAGACTGATTGAGGAAATGATGACTGAGAACGAAGAAGGTCCTCTGCAGGAGGAACCCCGGGACGAACGAAAAGCCAGCCAAGGTGGGACTGGACGAGGGGATAAAGGTAGTGGCCGTGGGGGAACGCCGAGCAAGAGAAGGAAAGAGAGAGAGAACTCTCCGGGGATGGAAGCAGAAAAGGCTACGACTCCGCCAGCCATGGACAGTAGGGCTAACCGCCTGCCGATCACGCCAATAGTAGTGCGAGGATGCAAAGGACTTTGGGATGGTTTGACCCGGAAGGAACTATGAAAACCAGGGAGGGACAGAAGGCCGGCAAGGAAAGTCCGGATAACAGTGTGGCAGGCGAGGCCAGCAGCGCTGAGGGCGGCCTTAAGAAGATAGTGTCGTCCTTCGCGCGAGCACTAAACAAAAATCAAGGCTATCTGGAAGATGCCAAGAAAAAGCTGACTTTCGATGGAGCAAACATCATGAAGTTCCTAATCGACTACGAGAACCTAGCTGCGTTACTAAAGTGGACCGAGGAGGAAAAGATGGACCATCTAGGACAACATGTGTCGTTAAGCCTAGGACAGGACATAATGACCATTGTAGCCGCAAGTCGGTCTTGGAAGGAGACCCGGGATGTGATGATGAAGAAGTACCTAGCGGCAGAGAATATGGCAACGGAGGCCGACCTAGCGGCAGTTCAGAGGAAGAACTTCGCAACGTACAATGATTTCCTACGGGAATTTACTCTGGTAGCACTAAGGATCCCCGGGGTCACGGACCGGATAATGAGCAAATATTTCCTCAGGCAGTTCTCCGAGTTCGACAAAGACAAGATCCTGTCAGCCTACCAACAGACGAGCAAGTTCGTAAATACGCGGGATGTGGATTTTAGCACGGTAACGGATCTCGCTGAGAAAACGGTAGTAACGGAGACATTGGCCTTGCTCAAGGAAGGAGAGATCATAGATCTGATCGGTAGGACGGGTGACAAGGTAAAGAAGGGGATTGAAAGTCTACATGAACAGGTGCACGGGGTCGACAATAAGATTGAAAGGATGGAAGGCGCGCTACTGGTTATGCAAGCGCAAGTATCCCGACCTGCCCTCCCTCCCTAGAAAGTTGTGGTCCCGCCAGGTGTAGCAAACTGGGGATTCGGACGGAGAGATCCTGCTAACGAGCAATGCAAGTACTGCACCGCGATAGAACATTATTTGCGCGCATGCCCAAAGTTCAACCATGATATTCTGAAAAGAAGGTGTACCAGGTTATTAAAGGGGGAAATATTTGGATCACAAGGGGAACGGGTGAACTGGAACTCACCAGGAGGGATGCAGCGAGCCATTATCATGCTCAACGGTCTAGAAATAACAGCCGTAGAAGCCGAGCCGGTGGGCGAGATCATCTGGGATCAGCTCCGGGGGCGCGGGCCGCAGACCAACTTTATTTTGGAAAGCGGCGGACGTGATAGGGTGAATGCAACCACTCGACTGGGAATGATCAGGAGAAGGATTAACCGTGACACCATTATGGAGGAGGTCGCCGGAAGCTCCGAACCCCAGGCGGAGCCTGAGGCCAAGGAACCAGAGAAAGTCTATGGGAAGCCTAGGGAAGAGGAGCCTGCGGACAAGGTTACCGCCGCTAAGAAGAAGTTTAGGTATCAAATCACGATCTTAACTTTGTCTGAGCTCGACGACACCATTAGCAAGTTACTAGGAACCATGGTGTCGGTGTCTTTTCAGACCATGCTGCAGGCTAGCCCCAGGTTGCTCAAAGGGCTCAGACGACTGTTGACTCGGAGGCGAGTAGAAATAGGCGACAACCCCTAATTACCAGAAGGGGAGAGGGAGGAGGAAGCTCCACAAGAAGTGGCTAACCTTCAGAGGAGTCACGTGGACTTGGAGGATCTCGAAAAGGCCTTTGCAGACATTCGTTTGAGCTTGCCCGACCGAGAGGGCGGCGAAGTTATGAGATCGTCACCCGGGACGAAGCTTAGCTTTCATGCGCTGCCCGTAGGGAAACTGAAAATCCAGATCGGGAGTCATCATACCGACGCATCAGTAGACGGGGGAGCAGAAATCACTCTCATAAGAAGAAATTTCACAACGATTACAGGATGTACGGTAAACAAGGAAGTAACAGGGAGCTGGCGGGGAAATCCCGTTCGCTGGGTACGTCACGAAGTGTGCTGTAAAGGCAGGAGTCAGGGAATCAATCTGGTCGTTTCAGCGGATGACCGTAATAGAGGAGATGGACCACGACATAATCCTTGGGAGACCGTGGTGCACGAACGTGTAGATGATAGGCATGCACTTGCACGATGGCTCATACATGGTAGACATAGAGGACCCTGTGACCGGCCGGGGAGAGCTCCTCGGACTCCTTGGAATGGGAGGAGACCCCCCGAGGGGGAAATTGGCAACATGGTCGCCGCCGTTCGAGGATAGCACGCGAAAAAGGGCTTTCGCGCGGATGGAGGGTATGAGAGAAAGGGTAGAAATCATGATTGAGGAAGCATTCAACAAGAAGGAGTGGACCAAGATGGGCCTGCCCTAAAAGAAGAGGAGGCAGGAGGACGAAGTCCTAGGTGTTATGGTAGCGGAAAAGAAGTCAGAGGTCGAACTTGGTGCTAACCTGCCCAAACGGAAAGAAGGACGCATAGACATGCCGAAAATCGCACTCGAGATCCCCGATCTATTGCAACTCATCAAAGCCCTCAGATACCACAAGGTAGGAGTGGATTGGCAGCCTTGGTCAAGTTCGAAAGAGAGGTGCAAAAGAGATATTGCTTGAATGGGAAACTAGTTAGTATTCAACCACGAGTCGTAGAGGCGACGGGGGCAATTCCGACTGTTCATTTTTTAGGAGAAAGATCCCGGAAGGAAGTGTTCGAAAGTACAAACCGGTAGGGAAGAAAACAAAACCGGTCTCAATCTTGCTAGAGACATCAAAGGAAGAGGCTACGGAGAAGGAGGAAGAGGTCCTTCGAGTAATCCGAGAAAGAAGGGCGACGGAGGGACATCGGATACCATATGAGGTAGTGGACACAATGAAGATAGGGATAGACGTGTTCTTAACGGAAGAAGAAACCCGCCTGATCAAAAGGACCTGTCAGGCGTTTCACCTGGCATTTGCCTTTAGTGATCACCAGAAGGGACGACTGGATGCGAAGTTGATCCCTCCGGTCAGAATCCACACGGTAGAACATGAGTGTTGGAATGACAAGGGGCTATGCTATGAATTTGGGATAGCAGGAGAAGTAACAGACCTCCTCCAAGCAAAGATGGACCCCTTTGTTGCGGAGCCTACGACATCGTCATACGCAAATCGGTGGTTCGTCTTTCGGAAGCCTTACAAGACACTAAGGTGGATTCAGGACCTGCAGAAGTTGAATGTGGTAACCATCCGGGATGCTGACTCGCTACCTCAGGCTGACTTATTAGCAGAATTGCACGCCGGTCAGAGCATTTACTCCCTGATAGATCTGTATTCAGGGTACGACCAGCTTCCATTGGATGTTCGGGACATACCATACACCGCTATGCACACCCCCGTAAGCCAGCTACAGATGCAAGTGACACCTATGGGATTCACAAACGTGGTGGCCGAAGCGCAACGCAGGATGCTCGCCGTGGCCGGGGATATGTTCCCAGAAAAATGTGAACCTTACATCGATGACAATCCGATCAAAGGCACGCAGGAAAAGGACGAGACGGAAGTCCAGTCAGGGATCCGACGTTTTGTGTGGGATCACCTGCAGGACATCAAGGATTTACTCCACCGGTTCCTAGTATACAATATTACGGCTAGTGGACCAAAGAGTATCCTAGCAGTACCAGAGGTAACTATACTAGGATTTCGTTGCGGTGCTTACGGCAGGAAGCCGGATCCGGCAAAGACYGACAAGATATCACAGTGGCCGACACCACTGCGCACGACGACGGAGGKAAGGGCATTTCTAGGCGTAGTCGGCTTTTGGAGGATCTTCATTAAGAACTTTGCCAAGATTGCGGAGCCTATCCGGGCTATGATCAGGGAAGAAGAAACCATGGATTGGACGGAGGAGCGAGAAGGAGTTGTCGAAAGGCTCAAGAACATATTGACATCTGAGACAGTCGCCCTGTCCGCGCCTTGTTTTAATGACGGAGTGGGATGACCCTTCATCCTAGAGACGGATGGAGGACCTTTGGCCGTAAAAGGTGTGTTGATTCAAAGAGATGAGGGAGGAAAAGATAGTCCAATTAGGTTCGAAAGTCGAACCCTGAACTCTGCAGAACGGCGGTATTCGCAATTCAAGAAGGAAGTCCTAGCCATCCTGCATTGCCTTAAGACCTTCCAGACCTACCTATTTGGGAGGCGATTCATCTCAAGGATCGATCCGACGAATGTCGCAGGGGCTCTAACGAATTGCAGGCCTATAAATCCGACGGTAGGGAGATGGGTAGGATTCATCTGGCAGTTCGACTACAAAATCGAACGGATTGCTGAAATCCGCAACAAGGCAGATGGACTAAGTCGGGTTTGCATCACTCCCGAAGGGATGGAGGATGCAGAGCCCATAGACGCCTTCCTCGAATACGAAGGAGAGATTCTCGCGGTGGATAACGAAATGATGAGCGAGGGATGCACATCGGGAGAACTATTGATCCAGACTTTGAAGAAGGGAGCACTTGCCGTAGTAGTAGAACTTAGAGAAGGATCAATTACCACTCGAGGATGCAGAGAAGAAAAAGACTCATGGGGAGCGATAGTAGGACCGAAAGAGAAACTAATGGCAATGGCGATCGAGGGAGGCCGGAAGACATTGATAAGCTTAGTGGAATCTTGGGAAAGGAAAGCGTTGCAATGAGTGGTAAACCAGATGCAGGAAGGAAAGGATGGGGGCCAAGAAGGGGAGGAGTTTTTCTATGTCCAATCATACAAAGGGCTCTTTCGGGAGATCGGGTTGTTGTTGGTAGGAAACAAACAACCTACGGAAGTCAGTATTAAAGCAAGAGAAGAAGCCGAAAGGTACGTCCTAAGGGGGGGGGCATTTGTTCCGAAGGGAGGAAGGTGCTATGCCCAGAAGGGTTGTGTGTGGAAGACCTAGGCAAGTAAACGTTATCCAGACACTGCACGACGGGTTAGCTGGAGGTCATCGGTCGTCCAAAGAAACATTTGCAAAGATAACGCCACTCTATTATTGGTCAGGCATGGCAGGCATGGTCGCCATATACTGCCAGACTTGCCTTATTTGCCAGGAACGAAGCTCGGTGTGGTTCTTCGAGCCGCTTAGACCAACGCGGGTGCTAGCGCCGGGACATCTGGTCCACCTCGACCTCGCAGTCATGCATGTATCAACGGATGGGTACAGGTATATCGTGGATGCGTGAGACAACCTGAGCGGGTTCGTGGAGGCAGTCGCCCTCAAGAAAAAGACAAGGAGAAGTGTGGCGGACTGGATAGAAGACTTCTACTTGAGACATCCGTTCGTCAGGAGGTTTACAGCAGACAATGAGACGAAGTTCGTGAACCAAGAAGTATTGGGGATGCTTAAGAGACTCTACGTACCGATCAAACTCATCGAGCCATATCACCCTGAGGCCAACGCATCTGTGGAAAGGGGGCACCGAACATTGAAGAACATGATTGCAAAGCTTGCAGCGGACCATCTGGGGAACTGGCCTAGGTATCTTAAGCAGGCTGTCTTTGCAGAGAATATGACCCCTAAAAGGACAACAGGATGTATCCCGGCAGAGCTTTGGTATGGAAGAGGGATCGACTTTCCAGTAGAAGCCTTGGTACCTACCTGAAATAGGTTAGATGATGATGCGCAAATGACCACTGAAGAGTTAATCGAGACGAGATGTCAACAAATCCTTAAGAATGAGGAGGTCATGGAGGACATCGCCAACCGGGTGCTGGACAGCAGAATGAGGGACAAAGCAAGGTGGGACCWGGTTMAGAATRTCAGAAAGGAGCCACTTCAGGTGGGGGAGATGGTATTACTAAGGAACTCGGCACTAGAAAGTACTTGGTCGGGACAGTTGGGAAGGAGGTTTAAAGGCCCCTCCCGGTCGCCAAGCGGGTGGGACTGAACACCTTCGAACTGGAAGATTTGGATGGAGCTGGATTGAAAGGGCCCTTCCCGGGGCAACGACTGGTCAGGTTTTTAAGTTGGGACCCAGTGGAACAATGGCTTCAGGAGGCCGAAGATAAGGAAACAGAGGAGCCACAAGCTAAAGACTAACCACAGCCTTGCCCACACTATGGTTTGTCTCTGACCCTGTTCGTGGGACTGTCATTTTTTTTTGGACTGGCGCTTTGGCTTGGACTGACTGAGGTTGAAAGGCAGCATGACTTGGGGATTTGCAATATCTGGCTTGTGTGACAATGGGAAGGGATGTTTGGGGCATTGTACCATAGTTTTTTACGGGAAAAAAATGGGGTCATCACAAATGACGCATTCGCATGTATAAAAGGGGCGTGATGCGAGGGATACTGGGTGCATTTTGGGAATGTCTACCAGCCTAAGGGGGGGGGGAGGCGCGAGTGTGTGAGAGACATTGCGGGTGTTGTTTTGTTATACAGGGCTTAGGAGTAAAACGAGAAAAGACAAAAAAAAATGGAATTCGGCAACGAGAACGACAGCGGGGCAATCAACCGGCCTACCGGAGGGGAAGAAGCTGGACCAAGCCAAGGGAGGAGGACAGCGAAGAGAAAATTGTACATTGGGCGCATAGGCGGGCCAGTGGTAGGCAGGGGTGGAAGGAAATGCTTGTGTAGGAAACCCTCACCCCTCCGCAAGGGAGAAGGTATATAAATATCATCTGACAGTGAGGGCGAAAAGGGAAGGGCAAATGTGGGAGAAGGATGCAATACAGAAATGAGAGATAAGGCTCGGGTCTCTAACGAGGAAAAGACCAACAGGGGCGAACGACGTGAGACTTGGCATGGGGAAAGCGAGGGGGGACAAGGTATGCGCGACGAACGTGTGGAAGGACGAGGAGAAAAGGGAGAGCCCGCTTGAAGGACGAAGCGGTCACGACAGTTGCGAGGGGTATGGGACGGGGACAAAGATCCCTTTTACCTACGATCCAAAGAACCTTGCTAGTGGGTATAGCCCCATACAGACTGAAGACGAGGGAGACGAGGAGGAGGATGTGCGAGAAGTTATAGAAATCAGCCGCGGGGATGAGAGGGATGAGAGATCTCAAGGCCTAGGGAAAAGGGGCGGCCTCCGATGCACCAGCCGGGCGACGGGTCTTTCAGATGAGAGGACGAGTTTGGGCCAACGCCCAGTCATTGGTTTCAGCAATGGACCAATGTGATCAGGCACGAATGGATTGTCAAGACTCGGGAACTCGCAAGGGCAGGGATGGAAGCCACACCACTAGATTTTTTCAACGAGGCAGAGTTGCATAAAATTGTAAGGATGAAAAGAGAGATCGAGACCTACGGCCGGGGGGTTAGGAAGCCTGCCGAGGAACTGGGCAAGACGAGGCGCAAGGCAGCAATAGGAATTAGGTGTTGACTTAGCATTGAAAAGGATCGCTGCTTTCTGTCTGCAGAGACATGAGAATGACGAGAACGTGTATAATATGGGCAAACTTGCTAAGGAGGAAGTGAAAAGAGAGCCAGCTAAGGCTGTGTCACGCTAAGATAGGAGATAGTTTTTTAGGCTAGTTTTTTTTAGGAGCTACCTTGGGTACATAAGACAAAGACATGGGATTTGGGATAAGACCAATTGGGAGAGGGTATATTGTGAATTCTGGATGAAATAAGGATTATGCTTTTGAAAGGGGAAAACCTTGAGTACGGATTGACGACCAAACCATGATATTGAATGATTGGTCGAGTACAAGAGAGGTTAGGGAGCCTATGGGTTAAAGGGTGTGAAGAACACTCCTTCCCTAGGAGCCTAATCCAACTGAGTCATGAACGAGACTGAGAATAGCCGAAACCTGAGAGATCGGGAAAAGTGAAAATGGAAGGGGCGCCTTTGTCATTTGTTATGAATAAACGACCGGGTGGGCTAGTGCTGCTTGGGGTCGCAAGCCCCAACTCGAGTGCTAGACGCTGAGTCGAATGTACGCATGGATGGTACATTACTGTGAGAAATGAAATGGATGGTACATTACTGTGAGAAATGGAAGAAAGAGAACAACAGGCAAAAGATGAGATGGTCACTTTCTAACCTCCAAGACAGAAATGAGATCCGTAACCTCGAGGCTTACCCCCTCGGGCACTAACATTTAGAATGAAAAGGAATGACCATAACCAGGCTGTTCGACTTGAGAATGGAAAGGAATGGCCCTAACCAGCTGTTCGACTTGATAATGGAAATGAATCGCCCTAACCAGGCTGTTCGACTTGAGAATGGAAAATAACGACTCTAACCAGGTTGTTCGGAAATGATCCCTGACAAGGGTTATTCCTTTAGAAATAGACACTGGGGTCCCCTGCATATTTGATTGAGAAAGGTTAATTGAGAACGTGTGGGAATGAGCAATAAGAGATGGAAAGGTCCGGTGGGTCAGTCATTGAAATAGCCAATGGGATGAAAGAGATGGAAAGGGCCGGTGAGTCGGTCATTGAAATAGCCAATGGGATGAAAGAAATGGAAAGAGTCGGTGGGTCGGTCATTGAAATAGCCAATGGGATGAGAGGAAGAGATGGAAAGGGTCGGTGGGTCGGTCATTGAAATAAGCCAAAGGGATGGACGGAAGAGATGAAAAGGGTCGGTGTGTCGGCCGCTGAAACAGCCAAGGGGGCGGAAGAAAGATGTGAATGAGAAGGACAGGATAAAGAAGGCAGAGCCTTAAAGCCGAGAAGGGCAGAGACCGTTGGGACGGTCACAGAGATTGGGTGTTGAGGAATGAGAAAATTGAGGATTGAGTGCGCGAAAGGGTCAGTCTTGAAAAATGGCTATTGAGAGAATGACCGCCAGACCGGCCATGTGGGTGGCCTTGTTAAGCAGAGGCTGTCGGATCAGCCATGGGAATCGGCCTTGGAAATAGCATTGGATTGGATGATTGGAATTGAATATTGCATTGCATAGTCAGGGGACCCTAGGCAACTTGAAATGAACTTGGAAATAGCCTTGAAATGAATTTTCTCTTTGTCTAGTTTTTGGCCTCAGCAGGAGGGGGATACTGGTGCTCGCACCACGACCCCACGACCTCTATCCCTGTAAAGGAAAAAGTCTCAGCGCGACCTGTTCCTCGTGTAAGAGGATGAGGGTTAAAGGACCAAGGCACCTACCACTTGGA